GCGGCAAGGCGCTTGCCGCGGTAGGCGGCCACTCTATGCCCATGCTCCAGTGCATCCACCAACGTGTCGCTCTGGGGGCCTCTCCAGGCGCGCGTGGCGGGAGGCTGTGCAGCCAGCGGTGCGCAGTGGCATGCGAAGCTGACAAGATAGCCGTCATGGCGAATGGTGGCGCCCCTAACGGTCCTTTTCTGCACTGTTTGGGCGACTCAGACGGGCCTTTAATGCCCTTGTCCCCTGCCGTCAGGGTTAGGTAGGGTGCACTGTACAAGTAACTGTACCAACCACCCCACTTTTTACATTTGTACCCCTCTCTGCGTTGCCACCTGTCGGTGACCCCTTTAGCGTATAAAAGGAGGCCCATGCGCAACGTAGAGGGGGTTCGGTTTGACTCATTCGTAACCCAGAAAGACACTACGCTCTCACGCTAGAGCAAGAACAGAATAGAACCAGACAAGCAGCAGTAGGAGTGTTATCTCTCCGGAGAGCTCCGAAGCTGGGTAAACTGCTCGTGTGCTTCGCCTCGATCTGCTCTTCGTGCGATCTCCGCCCCCCGCTGAACCGAAAGGGGCTCGGTCCGCCGGCCCCATAGGTGTTCGTGGATCAGTTTCCCCGACATGGACTAACTGATGCTTCTAGGGACTTCCTAGATAGTTGTGCTGGTTGTGTTTTCAGGGAACAAATTGTTGAATAAGCTGAAGAATTTTTGAATAACAAATTGAAAAATTATGATGACTAGTCATGAACCCGTGCATCTGCATGGGCTAGTTTTAACAATTTGTCATTTTCTCACTTTATATTTCACTTCATATTTTATGTGTATGTAATATACACAAATTATCTATGGTGTAGCCCACATATTAATATAAGTGCCTACTTGCACAGAACAATTGAAACATATGTAAATATATTGGAACATGCTACAGAAGCAATGAAAGTAACTTTAACCATTGGTAAACACAAATACATGTGAGTGTCTAAGTTAATCAATGTAATTTCAGCCGTAAATATGTTTCGTTACCTAGATGGTAAATATTTATTTGGAATATCACCAAAAGAAACATTGTTAAATGTTTAGATATAATGTCATCAACATGAGGCAGTAATGCAACTTACGTGCTTTGTGAACATATATTGCATATGCAAAAAATTAAGCATATCTTTTGTATTCTATTCTACCATCCAACGACTAAAAGATCATTTCATATAATTAGAAACATCTTATATGATTAAAGTTAAACAATAATTGTACTAAATCAACAACAATTAATATGGATCGGAGGGAGTGTAACATTCTTATTTCTCTAGATCATGATAATTAAACTTCATTCAATATAGTGCAAGCTTATTCATCAAACACACAATGGAAGAGAAAATAAGCGAACATGATAGATTGGAGAATAAATAATATTTCATAAATTTAGGCCTCCCCTTTAGTTCATAGGATAGGAATTTTATAGGAATAGAAAAATCATAGGAAGTGAAATGACATGCATCTCAATTCCTATAGAGAAAGGGATGCCATTTGGCGATGCCATTTGGTGCATAAGATAGGAATTTTTCCATTGAGTCTAGACTAATGTTTTTTCCTCCAAATTGTGAAGGATTGATTCCTATCCTACATAGGAATAGGAATCCATTCCAATAAACCAAAGGGATTCAAAGGATTATTTTTTTTCCTTTGCAAATCCTATCCTGTAGAGTTCCTACAGAGATTTGGAGTAGTGACATGACCATCTTGCATTAACTATTATGCTAGATTTTCCTTTGTAATGAAATTATAGTACATGTGCGAAGTTGATACAACATCCATTAAAAAAACATAAACAAAAATACTATATAAGACCAGACATCAAGGTAATGTCTTCAAATAGTTATTATGCAATACAATTTACGTAAACAGATACATCTTGATCAGAAACATTATTACTTAAATTTTCTCCTAGAATCTTAATTTCTCTTAAGATCACCAGAGATTGTAAACTCTCCACACATCTTGGCATTTCCAAGAAGTTTCATATCAGAAAAGCTCTCTATCGCGTGAGTGTGCAAACATAAGAAACCAACATTCATTTTTTTGTTGAAACAACCAAACACAGCTACATACCATTACCTAAATACATGACCACATTCAGATTTGTGGTTGGTTTAATAAAAGCATTAAAATATATTTCGCTCGGCATGAGAAGTCATCATTCTCGCAAAAAGAGAAGACCATCATTATACAGACCTCTTACCTTGTTCAAAGCAGCAAAATCAGTACTCCCTCTGATCCATATTAATTGTCACCATTACTAAATCAGCAACAACTAAAATGGATCAGAGGGAGTACATTATATGGAGAAGTACACTGTGATTTATATTGAATCACCTAAAGACACACCACAACATTATTAAAAGCTGGTCTTCAATTTGGAGATATAAACCATTTGAAACTATCTTATTTGAGAATTACATAGTCACAAAAAGTGTATATGAATAGAAAATATATGTGAGTTCTTCTGTGTAGATGATAATATCGACAGAGTATAACTTCACTTACCCTGCCAATGCTATGACTCCTAGTTGATAGCACCGAGTATTTCACATGCCATCTATTTAACCTTCAATTTAGTAGTTGTCACACACAATTGACAGAAAATCAGAAGTTCAGCAGCAGCGACACTTAAGCATTAGTAGTTCTCACATTGCCTTTGCTTTTGCAAACAAATTGTTCGCGAAAAATAGATATTCGGATTTATAACAGAAACCCTCAATGTTTTAGTAGTTCAAAAAGAGCTTCATTGTTAAGTGTTTCACAGTTTAACTATCTGCACTATATGCTGGCTAAAAAGGGTTAGAAGCAAATTCATGAGAACTCAATTCTCTAACCTACAACAACCAGGACATGGCATCTTTGCAAGGAACTTCCTTGAACAGGAGATCAAGCAACAACATCAGCCGTAACTGAAGACTGGGTAGGCCATTGAAGATGTTAACTCTCCCATAGAGGGTCTTAGACATGTTTTGTCGATACAAAAATTTATTAGTAACTTGACCAGCGATGACATTGACAACTGACATTAGGCTCCTCCATGCTGCTGTCATCTACTTAGACAGCATGTTAATTTATAAGCTCGCCTGATCAGCATCGTTATACTCCGACCATTGTCCATTATGTATACATAGCTTGTACGTAAGAAGATTATGCTCCAACCAATCTCCATGAGGTATCCATAGGTTATATGTGAGAAGAGCCGGGATTGCATCCATAGAGAGCACAAACACTATCCAAGCACATGATACAAAACAAATTGAACCCAAATCCAAAGTTAATGTGTATTCAAGATAAAACTGCAAGGAAAATTAGAACAAAATATTGTGAGAAAATGAACCTGATACAGATGAGGAAAACAGTTTTGGGTCAATAAGCTCCTTTAGCACAGCAGATGAATGCTCCAACTTAGTTTTGATAGAGACATGGGTTAGCTTCCATGGGGTGGGAGATAGCTGAAGGGAGAGACATGACGCAAGATTGTTGAGGTTGTTTCTAACCAGGAGAGAAAGAAACGGTGTAGAAGCAGTGATCTCTTTCGGGCCTGGAGGAAGAACTATAGAGCGTTAGGGCCATCAACAATAGCGTGGAATCTTTTCTGGTAATACGGCCGCTTAATGATGTTGTATCTTTTCCCTAGCCTACACTTGTTTTTATATTATTAGTTGAGCATCTCCCCCACGTAATAATTCAACAAATTTGTTAACACAATTTTTTGAAACAAATTTACAGTTTTCAAGATAAAAGAAAATTATTTGCAGCTTGCATGGAAGGAGTATTTACCTCAAACAATGAGCGTCTACTGTCAAATCTTCTCTTGTGCTTGCCTATTCCTGTACAAAAGGAAAACATGACAGGCTTTGCATGAAATCAATCTGGATTGAGGTTCAAAGCCACTGACGCAGCTAGTCACATAGCGGATGCGATGTTAATGAGTAGGTGCATTGATCGATGGATAAGACAGCAGCACCATCTCGTCGATGTTGACAAAGCGGTGGCGTGATGTGCATTGATCGATCCATGCGACGGCACCACCAATCTCGTCGACAACGGCGACAATAAGAAACGGTGGTGGTGTGGCATGCATTGATAGATCCATGCGGCGGCACCATCTAGTCGACAACAGCGACGACATGAAATGTGCACGCTGTTTTACCCTTTATATCAAGAACAGCAGTATATACCGACTCAAGAAGAGTAGTGTATATCGAATAAAAGATTATGTACTGACTAAAAAACATAGTATACTGGTTCACAAAAAAGTACTATATATCTCCTTACAAAGATGTTGTATATACTGCATCACACAAAAAAGTATATACTTACTTCATTAAAAAGTATGTTATATACCCTTTTGATTTAATTTTGTATGCTACACTTCTGTGCACAAAGAGCAGTGTATTATATACTCCTTTTGATGGTAGCATACACCACAAGGAAGATAAAAATTGGCGGCAGCTATTCAAACCAGTTTGAAAATATGTTATAGAGTCCCTGGCAAAAATATGGTTCATACTCCACTATCACAAAGTCACTATATACAATATCACAGAAATATTGTTCTGGTATATACTGATTATTACACCTACTCCAACCCAAGCTCCCCAGGTTCACGGCAAGAATTCAAACCAGTTCAAAAATTACATACTCCACTATCACAAAGTTAGTATATATAATATCACAGAAATATTGTTCTGGTATATACTGATTATTACACCTACTCCATTCCGAGCTCCCCAGGTTCACAGCAAGCAAAGAGTAAGAGCACCGTATATTTTCAAGAGTTGGCAATATATGCTAACATTTTAGGTACCTTCGTATATACTACATATTAGATTTATTCTTTTGAAACATGCATGCATATCTAAAAATGCGTAGATGTCATGTTTGGTTTAGCACACACAGTTTCGTAGTGCAACATACACAAAATCACAAATGTATTTAGATCTGAAAGTAAATATAAGAAGCATCAAGCATTACCATATTGTTGGAGATTATTAATCCAGGTCCTATAGAAAACAAATCTCAATGAAGTTGTGTGGTAGCTGTAGTTGAAGGCATAAAAATGTTTGAGTAAACTATCACATCCATGCAGGTCCATATGGCTGATGCCATGCGTTCCAAAGGTGCCTGAACCCCTGACCGACATTGATGATGAACATCTGGCAAAGCGTCTGCATCAACAGTTAAATCATCAGTCTGATTGGTAAGAAGAATAAACTATTCAAACAACACTAATCCTATGGCACACACATCATATTGTGTAATTTCCTTATTAAGAATTCAGTGAAGTCTACTTAACATTGCTTAGGCTCGACCAAATTAGTAAAAATCAAACGTTATGTTATGTCAAGCAGCTTTGAAGACGCACTAATGATCACATCCTAAAGTGGTCGTCAAAAATCAGGATTGGACATCTAAGCTTGTAGTCATAGGTGCAGTAGCATTTCTTCAGCGAATTAAAATGCTTTTGGCAAAAGATGCTAATCATCCATGTGACCATGTCTCTGCAGCATAAACAGATGAAGCATCAATGATCAGTAATAAATACTTGGACAGGGAATGTATTACTCCTTCTTGTAGGAATTAGCATAGACATTTTCTTGGCAAACAAAGCTCAAGTTCTGCATACTAAAATGTAGTACTCTGGGCAATAGAAAGCAATGCATTGGGTATTATTCATCAACAACAATCCACACAATTATATTGTAGTAAGCTAAATAGTAGTTGAGTCTATGAACTATTTCTTAGAACTACCTAAATGACCAATTATAACATAATTGTATTGTCCTCTGCCAAATTCAGTATGGTGACATTTTTCGAATATTAGTCCTAACTGAAGCACCTGTTAACAAACCAACTAAACCACCATGATTTTTTAAAAATAGAACTATCCAAATCACCATTGCAAAGTCAAAGGGTAGTAGTATTGACCCAGTACCTTCCCAAACCCAAGCGTGTGTGTAGGAAAGGAGATTCGGCCCACTAACATGGCAATCCAATGGCACTACACCTAGCACACCCGCAAATCCATTCCACCCAAGTTACATGAGAGAACTTCAGAGAAGAAAATTACCTTGCCTGGCAGCCTCTCAAAACACATCCGAATTTGCTACGCGGAGCACCATCTTCTCCAAGTAGTTCCATGCCTCGGCGGTCCGATGAGTGGAGGGGCACAAATTTGCTACGCGGAGCACCAACTTCTCCGGGTACTTCCATGCCTCGGCGGTCCGATGAGTGGAGGGGCACAACAGGAGACCATTGTTATTGCCTATAGGTATAGATTGTCGCATGAGAGGAGAGTGCGGTGTGATGTTTGATGGGAGAGGAGGAAGAGGAGGTGAGGATAGATCGAGAAGGGACACAATCCGCCTCAATCGCATTCCCTCGACCTGCCGCGCCGCCTCCACATGACCGGAAGCATCCGCCGTAGCGTGCTAGTCCAAGAGAGAGGACTAAGGAGAGAGATGGTTCACGGTGGCGGTGGAGGCGATGGAATGCAACAGAGGGTAGGTGCAGTGGGCAGGGGCAGTGGATGGGTGGGAGAGCGACGGCATCGGTGGGGAGCAGGGCGGCGGCGCGATCCATGGCAAGCGATGGGCGTCAGAAGGTTAGGGATACAGGAAGACTTTTTTTAGCAACCACGGTGAAAGGACTGTGGGTTTTTTAGGTGGTTGTGGGGCTTCGTTTTGTACAACCATTGTGAAAGGAACGTGGGCCTTCAGGTTCCTTGGTGAAAAGAGCGTGGGCCTTCAGTTTTATTTTGGCGAATTAAGCACGTAATTAAGCGAAAATAACACGAGTTAATCTCCACCGTAATAACTCGGTCTCATCGAATGAACCATTCGTAATTTCTAATTAACATGATAATTACTTGGGAGTCTGTAATTAGTAGAGGTATAGATAGATAGATAGATAGATAGATAGATAGATAGATATAGATAGATAGATAGATTGGACTATTCCTGAACCACCTCCTAAACCCATTCCCAAGAAGAGGGGTATATTATATCTCAGTCCCGAAGATATGCAAGAGGCAGATAAATCTATGAAGGAAAAAGGTATTAAAGCTGAGGACGTTAAAAATCTACCTTCTATTGAAGAAATACATGGGCTTAATATACCACCAATGCCTAAGGTGGTAGAGGTAAATTCTCTTATGAAGTTCAATGATAATTATAATCCTTACAATATGCATCATATCCAATGCCTTTTATGAGTTTGAAAACTACATTAGAAAACAAGATCACTTCAATGCAAATGTTATGAAACAATTGAAATATAATTCTGATATGATTGCTTGCTTGAGTGACTTGTTATTTAGAATATTAAATGATGTTAGAGGTGTTGGAAAACATGCTTATATAGTTCAAACCCAATTAGAGCATGTTGTTAAATCTCAAAGAGAATTGCTTGATGAAATGAATAAAAATATGCATGACTTTGCTGTTAGAGTTACTACTAGAGGAGGTAAAATGACTCAGGAACCACTTTATTCAGAGGGACACCCTAAAAGAATTGAATAAGATTCACAAAGAGCTAACACAAGTGCACCTAGTCCTTCTAGGAAGAAAAGGAAAAAGGAAAATGATAGAACTTTGCATGCCTCTAGTGAACATGAAATAGAGAAACCTCCTGATAATGATAATGAAATTTCTATCTCTGATGCCGAAACTCAATCTGGTAATGAACACTCACCTACTAATAATGAAAAAGTAAATGATGGGGTTCATTAAGACTCTCAACCAACCAATGATAAAGAACCAAATAATGATGTGGAGATAGAACCACCTATTGATCTTGATAAACCACAAGCTAAGAATAAAAGGTATGATAAAAGAGACTTTGTTGCTAGAAAACACGGCAAAGAAAGAGAACCGTGGGTTCAAAAACCTATACCTTTTCCACCCAAGTCAACTAAAAAGAATGATGATGAAGAATTTGAACGCTTTGCTGAAATGTTGAGGCTAGTATTTTTGCATACTCGCTTGACTGATATATTGAAAATGCCTCCTTATGCAAAGTATATGAAAGACATCATCACAAATAAGAGAAAATTACCGGAAGTTGAAATCTCCACTATGCTTGCTAATTACACTTTTAAAGATGGAGTACCTAAAAAAACTTGGAGATCCGGAATACCAACTATACCTTGTTCTATCAAAAAGAATTATGTGAGAACTGCTTTGTGTGCTTTAGGAGCTGGTGTTAGTGTTATGCCTTTCTCTTTATATAAAAGACTTGACTTGAATAAACTCACACCTACTGAAATATCTTTGCAAATGGCTAACAAATCAACTACCATACCTATCGGTATCTGTGAGGATGTGCCCATTGTTATTGCTAATATTACTATTTTGACAAACTTTGTTATACTTGAGATGCCCGAGGACGACAACATGTCGATTATCCTTGGTAGACCCTTCTTGAATACTACAGGGGTTGTTATTGATTGCAATAAAAGCAAGTTCACTTTTCATATTAATGGTAATGAGCATACGGTGCACTTTCCAAAGAAACAATTCCAAGTGAATCGTATTAATGTTATTGAAAAATCACCGGCAATCACTATTGGAAGTTTTCAAATACCTCTACCTACTGTCAAAAATAAATATGAAATGCTTATTATTGGGGAAATGCATATCCACATTGAGGTAGTAGTTTACGAAAGTTCTTCGATTTCATGCTAATCGGAAGTGGTTGTTAATAAGAGTTGATCAACCTTATTAATGGATCATTTTTGAATGGTATGAAGTTGATGAATTTAGTAAGCACTACTTTCTGTCCCCACTTTTTATCCTCTATTTCTATTAGTTAAATAAAATAAAATGCCATGTTTTGTCTGTTTTCTGAATTTCCCATGCAATAAAAAATGATCCAAAAATAAAAGTTCTCAGAATGCCCTCAAAATTTAATACGATTTTTTCTGAATATTTGAGAATTTTTGGTGCAAGTAACATCAGAGGGAGGTGCACCAGGTGGGTACAACCCACCTGGGCGCGCCAGCACCCCCAGGCGCGCCCTGGTGGGTTGTGGTCCCCATGTGGGCCCCCTGACTTACCTCTTCATACCACATCATCACTTACCTCCAGAAAAAATCCCCATTGCTCTCTCTCTCTCTCTCCTGTGTTCTTGAGCTCAAACCCGCGGATTTCGATATCTTTGCTCAAAGCTACATTTCCGAAACTGTTTCGGGGGATTGTTGCTTGAAAATTGTACACAGACATGATGAACCTATTTGGAAGGAGTTCTTCGAGGAGCCGATCCTCGGGGGTATCTTCTAGTGACAATTCTGCTCGTCGGTCTTATGTTGAACCAAGTGAGAGTTCCACGCGAGATGCCGCCACCAAGACATGTTTATGGCCTAGTGATGAATATATGATGCGTGTGGGCATTAAGGAGGAATTTGAGCAATATGTTCACAATGCTGGCCTCGGTCCCTACCTATCAGATAAGTGTGTACAACACCAACTTCTCATTGAATCATTTGTCAAAGGATTTAAATATTTCCCACGTGAGTCTAGGGTGTCGTTTATGCTTTATGATAATCCTTATACTATCCCACTGGAGAATTTTGCTTACCATTGCAAACTGTCATTTTGGGGTTCACTTGATGAGCCACCAACGGTTGAGTATGAGTCTTTCTTGACTAGCCTTTGCTATGGTCAAAATAGGGGAGTGAGACAAGAAAGAATAAAGAACATTCATTTTCCTGCAATTCAGTATTTTGCATTATTTAATGGGAAATGCATAGTAGGCAAGCAAGACTGTAGCATACTTTGTGCTCCATAATTGAGCCTCCTTCACACCGCTCTCACTAGTGAAAGGAATTATAACCTTGGAGCGATTATTGCATGTAGACTCCGGCACAATGCTAACCGTGGTTGGTTCTATTGTGGAAATTATGCCACGTGTTTAGCACGGGAGCTGAGTGTTTCGCCTTTGCCCTTTGATCCTATCCTACCCATGCAGTATTTAGATTTTGACACTCTGAAGGAACACAAGATCCTAAAGGGAAGGGCTGATAATTTCGCTTACAATCTAATGTTTAACCAAAGATCCATTGTGGACACATATTTGCCTGCGCCTACTCTTTTTGATTATAACAGTAAGGGAAGATAATTTGTTCTTGAGAGCAAGGCCCGAACTCATAACGCAGCAGTGGTAGCGGCACGGCGTGCTGAGGCATCCGCACCGAGAGCTTCCGTGAGCTACCACGCTGACTATTACCCTCCAGGCTACTGATCGACTACCAAGTTAGGCCAAAAGCCTAAGCTTGGGGGAGTATGTGTTTCCACCGACTTTACATTCATGTCTACTTATTTCATTTGTCGGTGTTCACACTTATTCATTGTATCATCCATGCTTAGATTTATTTTCTGCTTTCATCTTGTGTGTTTAAAAAACTTTAGAAAAAACAAAAAAATTAGTCATAGTTAATTTACTTTCTATGCGTGTTTAGTAGTAGTACTAAAAAGAAAATCCAAAAAGATTTCCTTGTTCTTCTTTTGCTTGTTGGGAGCTTTCCCGTGTAAATAGTTTTTCTCGTTTTTGCTTTTCCCTTTTATTTGCTTGTTGAAGAAAACCAAAAACCCCAAAAATATTTCAGTGTGTTTCTCTGAAATTATTTTCTTTTATTCGAGTTGTACCAAAGAGAAGACCATGATGAAAATGTTGAGTGGCTCTCATATGAATAATTGTTGAACTAATAAAGTGCCCATTTTACCTTGTCTTCTCCTGTTGAATAATTTTTTTGCAGATTCCAGCTTAGTCCATGGCACTCTTGCACTATTATTATTTTCATATCATTCGGTCATGCAAGTGCAAGGCAATAATGACGACATTCGATGAACTGGCCGTGGCAAAGAGAAACTGGTATGAACTTGACTTATCTTGTCTATGTAAATATGTTTAACCTAGCGTCCATGATTCAGCCTGTTATGATTAAACATGTTTGCAATGAAAATTAGAGATTATAGTTTCTCATGCCATGCATGAGTAGCTGGGAGTTAATAATAATTTATCTTGGATATCAACATAGCGTTAAAATGACTGTGATGTAGTATGATGATATGGTATCCTCCTCTGAATGTTCAAGTGGCTTGACTTGGTACATGTTCATGCATGTAGTTGAATCAAAACCAACATAGCCTCTATAATGTTTATGTTCATGGTGTTGATATCCTACTCATGCTAGTGTCCAATGTCACTGTCGCGTA